TCGACAACTCACCTGATCTCTATAGTCTTGGGTCGCAGGAGGCCGGGCCCGTCGACCTCCAGCTTGCACCGCCTGAGGGTTATCGGAAGGGGGTTGGTGAAGGAGATCCTGAGGGCGAGAGGCTGCCCCGCCACGGCCTCCGACAGGATCTGGAAAGGGGGGGGGGGGTGTCGAGAAGGGGGAAAAATGAAAAAATTAATGTGATGAAAATGAGGAGATGGGTGGTGGTGGAAGGGGAAGGGGTGGGGGGGGGACGGGGGTAGGAGTGGGGTGGTGGGAGGGGGGGGTGGATTGGAAGGGGGAGGGGAGGGGTAGGAGTGGGGGGTGGAATTGGAAGGGGAGGGGTGGGGAGGGTTGGGAGGGGTGGGGGTGGTGAGAGGGGTGGGGTGATATAATAACAGAAACATATATAATGACAGATACATATACAACCTTTCGATCCATGACCCGTTGACCTGTAACCCTTGACCCTTTAACCTATAACCCTTGACCCTTTAACTCATGATCCGTTTCCCCTTTGACCCATAATCCTTTGAACCTATAACCCTTTGACCCATGACCATGACCCTATGACCCCACCTCTGACCTATGACCCCACCCATGATCCTTTGACCTCTGACCCTTGACCCCCTTTGACCCCTACATTACCTCGATCTTGATATCCGGCTTCTGTATCTCCATGGCGTCGTCGCCCACCCAAGCGTAGGAGGTCTCGGCGACGGTGCAGATGGCCAAGTTCTTGATCATGGCGTGTTCGACCAGTTTCTCGTAGTAGTCGCCATAGGTCACGTCCATGGTCATGCTCTTGGCTGCGAGAGGAGAGAAAAGGAGGAGGAGGAGAAATGAGGTGAGGTTTTCTTGGGGTGGGTGGGGGTGGGGGTGAGAGTGGGGAGGGTGTGGGTGTGAGGGGGGGAGGGGGGGGGGGGGAGGGGGGGGGAGGGGATGATGAGTAAAGGGTATTGATTATTGAGAGAAAAAAAAGTTTATTGTGAAGTAAAGGAAGTAAACTCGATCAGTAAACACAGTCAGTCTTCTATGGTCATGTTCTTGGCTGTGAGGAGGAGAGATGAAAAGGAGGAGGAGAAATGAAGTGAAAAGGAGGAGGAGGAGAAATGAGGTGAGGTTTCTTGGCTGGGTGGGGGTGAGGGGTGAGGGGTGAGGGGAGGAGGGGGGGTGTGAGGGGGGGAGGGGGGAGGATGAATGATTAAAGGGGTATTGATTATTGAGAGAAAAGAAAGTTTATTTTGAAGTAAGGAAGAAAACTCGAAGTAAAAACACCAGTCACGTCCATGGTCATGTGTTCTTGGCTGTGAGAAGAGATGAAAAGGAGGAGGAGGAGAAATGAGGTGAGGTTTCTTGGGGTGGGTGGGGGTGAGGGGTGAGGGGGGGTGTGAGGGGGGAGGGAGGGGGGGGAGGGATGAATGAGTAAAGGGGTATTGATTATTGAGAAGAAGTAAGGAAGTAAACTCGACCACTAAACACTTCCAGTCACGTCCATGGTCATGTTCTTGGCTGTGAGAGGAGAGATGAAAAGGAGGAGGAGAAATGAAGTGAAACGGAGGAGGAGGAGGAGAAATGAGGTGAGGGGGGGGGTGGGCGGGGGGTGAGGGGGGTGGGTGTGAGGGGGGGGGGAGGAATGAATTATTAAAAGGGTATTGATTATTGAGAGGAAGTAAAGGAAGTAAACTCGACCAGTAAACACTTCCAGTCACTTCTATGGTCATGTTCTTGGCTGTGAGGAGAGGTGAAAAGGAGGAGAAATGAAGTGAGGTTTTTTGGCGGGGGTGGGTGGGTGGGCGAGAGATGAATGATAAAAAGGGTATTATCAATTTTACCCCACGTCACTTCCATGGCCATCAATCAGTCCTATCAACACTAACAGAAGGCTTTACTCGAAACAACAAATAAGAGAAAAAAAAACAATAAAGAAAATAAATAAAAAAAAATAACAAAAAAGAGCAAATACACACTTTCTCCGACTTCGAGGACTATTTCTCCCTCTCGACGCTTAATCGGGTATGCGGGAGCCCCTGTATAGTACATGCTAGTGGAGGTCATCACCACACTCACTGTTCTCTTGGCTTCGCTTACGTTCTGCAATAGAAAAGGGAGGGAGAGGTCAGGATGAGAGAGAGAAGGTCAGGATGAGAGAGAGGGAGGTTGATGAGAGAGAGGGAGAGGAGGAGGAAGGGACAGGAGGAGGGGGATAGAGAGCGAGAGAGAGAGAGAGGAGGGGAAGGAGGAGAGGTCAGGATGAGAGAGAGGGAGGTTGATGAGAGAGAGGGGGGAGAGAGGAGGGAGGGAGACGAGGAGGAGGAGGGATAGAGAGCGAGAGAGAGAGAGAGAGGGGAAGGAGGAGAGGTCAGGATGAGAGAGAGGGAGGTTGATGGAGAGGGAGGAGGAGGAGGAGGAGACGAGGAGGAGGAGGGGATAGAGAGCGAGAGAGAGAGAGAGGAGGGGAAGGAGGAGAGGTCAGGATGAGAGAGAGGAGGTGATGAGAGAGAGGGAGGAGGAGGAGGAGGAGGGGGGACGAGGAGGAAGGGGATAGAGAGCGAGGAGAGAGAGGAGGGAAGGAGGGGAGGAGGAGGAGGAGAGAGGAGGAGAGGAGGAGGAGGAGGAGGAGAGGAGGGAGAGGAGGAGGGGGAGGAGGAGGAGGAGGAGAAGGAGAGGAGGAGAGAGGAGAGAGGAGGAGGAGGAGAGGAGAGGAGGAGGAGAGAAGAGGGGGGTAGAGAGAAAGGAGAGAGAGTGGGTGATGCGTGGGGAGGGGGAAGAGAGGGAGGAGGAGAGAAAGAGAGAGGGGAGGAGAGAGCGAGAGAGAGAGAGAGAGAGAGAGAGAGAGAGAGAGAGAGAGAGAGAGAGAGAGAGTGAGAGTGAGAGAGAGAGAGAGAGAGAGAGAGAGAGAGAGAGAGAGAAGAGAGAGAGAGAGAGAGATAGAGAGAGAGAGAGAAGAGGGGAGAGAGAGATGCATGCACAGATCAATAGTTTGAGAGAGGGCCTGAGACAGATAAATAGCTAAAAGGACAGAACAGATTAACAGAATAAATAGATAGAAAAAACATATACATAAATAGAGTTGAAAGTCACAAAGAAAGACAGAATAATCAAGAAAAAAAATGCATTATTTACTCATGCTCACGCCCCATATCAACATCGAAATACTTTCCATTTAAAACCCATTTCCGAGTAAATATCCAATTTCCAATCGACCTTTCACTCCTCCCAATCCAATCCAAACGCCTTTCACCCTTCACCCTCAAATCGACACCCCCATCCCATCGACCTTTCACCCTCCAATCGACCTTTCACCCTCCCAATCCACCAATCGACCTTTCACCCTCCCAATTCCCACCCAATCGACCTTTCACCCTCCAATCCCACCAATCGACCTTTCACCCTCACAATCACCACCCAATCGACCTTTTTCACCCTCCAATCCCACCCAATTCGACCTTTCACCCTCCCAATCCCACCCAATCGAACCCTTTCACCCTCACAATCACACCCAATCGACCTTCACCCTCCCAATCGACCTTTCACCTCCCAATCCCACCCAATCGACCTTTCACCCTCCCAATCCCACCAATCGACTTTCACCCTCCCAATCCACCAATCGACCTTTCACCCTCCAATCCCAATCCTCACCTTTCACACCCTCCAATCGACCTTTCACCCTCCCCAATCCCCACCCAATCGACCTTTCACCCTCCCAATCCATTTTTTCAACCCTCACAACACACCCATCGACCTTTCACCCCCTCCAATCGACCTTTCACCCTCCCAATCCCACCCAATCGAACCTTTCACCCTCCCAATCTCCACCCAATCGACCCTTTCACCCTCCCAATCCCGACCCAATCGACCTTTCCCCTCCAATCCACCCAATCGACCTTTCACCCTCCCAATCGACCTTTCACACTCCCATCCCACCCAATCGACCTTTCCTCCTCCCAATCCCACCCAATCGACACTCACCCTCCCAATTTCCCACCAAATCGAAACCTTTCACCCCTCGAACAAGTCACAAGATTATAACAGCAACCCAATTCGACACACTTTTCAACCCATCCCCAATGACCTTTCACCCTACCAATCCACCCAATCAACCTTTCACCGCCCAATCCCAGAACCCAATTCGGACCTTTCAACCCTCACCAACTCCACCAATCGGACCTTTCACCCACCACCCCACTCTTAGCCCAATCGAGACCTTTCACCTCCCAATCCCACCCAAATCGACCTTTCACCCTCCCACCCCACCCAATCGAACCTTTCCCCTCCAACCCCAATCCAAATCGACCTTTCACCACCCCCCCAATCCACCCATCGACCTTTCACCTCTCCACAATCCCACAATCCAACCTTTCCTCCCAACCACCAATCGACCTTCACCTCCCAATCCCACCCAATCGACCTTACCTCACCAACCCCACCTTTCGACCTTTCAACCTCTCCCACCCATCGACCATTTCACCCTACCAACCCCACCCATCGACCTTCACCCTCCCAACACCGACCTCACCCTCCCAATCGACTTTCACCCTCCCAATCCCACCCAATCGGACCTTTCACCCTCCAAACCACCCAATCCCTTTCAACCCTCCAACCCACCCAAATCGGACCTTTCACCCTCCACCCCACCCAATCGACCTTTCACCCTCCAATCCCAACCCAAGTCGACCTTTCACCCTCCCAAATCCCACCCAATCGACCTTACATCCCAATCCCACCCAAAATCGAACCTTTCACGACCTCGCCAATCCCAACCACATCGACCTTTCACCCCCCCAATACCACCCAATCGACCGTTTTCACCCTCCAATCCCGACACACCAATCGACCTTTCACCCTCCCAATCCCACCCAAATCGACCTTTTCAATCCCACCCAATCCCACCCAATCGACCCAATCACTGCCCTACCTTGCAGTTGAGGGTCACGGTGAATCCCTCGCCAATGGGAACTCTCTCTAAATCCTCGACGGTGAATTCGACATCATCGACCTCTTGGGACATCAGGCGAAAGGCGTGTCGGGCTGCACGGGTCCTGCAGGAACATATGATTCGATAAAAAAGCAGTTCGTATAATCAGAGTAATCAGATTAGGGAAGAATAATCATGATTAGTATAATATATAATAATATTATATTAGTATATATTAATCAGATTATCATAATCAGCTAATCAGATAGGGAAAATAATCAGGATTAGTATTAATATATATATAATAGATATCATTAGTCATCAGATTATCATAATCAGATAATCTGATTAGGGAAGAATAATCAGGATTAGTATAATATATAATAATATTATATTATATTAGTTATAATAATCAGATATCTGATTAGGGAAGATAAATCATTATATAATGATATTATATTAGTATAATAATCAGATTATAATAATCAGATAATCTGATTAGGGAAGAATAATCAGGATTAGTATAATATATAATAATATTATATTAGTATAATAATCAGATTATAATAATCAGATTATCTGATTAGGGAAGAATAATCGGGAAAACAGTATTCAAATCAGTAAGAAAAACAAAATATAATTCGATAAAAAGCAGTTCGTATAATCAGTATAATCTGATTATGGAAGAATAATCAGGAAATTAGGAATCAAATCAATAAGGAAAACAATAACTTCAGGAAATCTTGAAGATTATTAGCAAGGAATAAACGATGTTTTACAACTCGACAAAACTTAGCAAATTTCATAATAATAACAAAACAGAAACAACATAAAATAGATTAACCAGAACACCCAATAACCCAAACGCAAAACAAATAACTTCAGAAAACAACAGAACTTCAACAACACCAACACAACAAAAACACAAACAAACGAACAGAAAACAAAACAACTTGAACAGCTGAACAGAAAACAAAAACACAAACAAGCGAACAGAAAACGAAAACAACCGAACAGCTGAACCACGTACCTTCGAGCAGCTGTTAGTAGGGTGACTCTCTCAGCTGTTGTTCCTTCCTGTGGCTTGTATTCGAGTGTTATGTCTTCTTTGTCGGCGTTGGAGTAACCGCTGTTATCTATGGGTCCCACTTTCTTCGTGAGCACTTGACGTCCGACGCTGAAACAAGATGGGAATGGGAATAGAAGATGGGAATGGGAATGGGAATGGGAATATCAAATGGGAATGGGAATAGAAGATGGGAATGGGAATGGGAATATCAAATGGGAGTGGGAATATCAAATGGGAATGGAAATCAAATGTGGGAATAAAAAATGGGATGGGAATAGGGGAATGGGAATGGGAATATCAAATGGGAATGGGAATAAAAAATGGGAATGGGAATAAAAAATGGGAGTGGGAATAGAAAATGGGAATGGGGATAAAAACTGTTTTTCTTTATATTTCTCTTTATCGTTCTCTTTCTCTTTCTCTCTGGATCTTTCTCATCCTCCCTCCCTCCCTCCCTCTCTCTCTTTCACTCTCCCTCCCTCAACCTCATTATCTCTTCCTACTTCTCCCTCTTCCTCTTTACCTCCTTCCCTCTCCTCGTCTCTCTCTCCTCTTTCTCCTTACTCTCTCTCCTACCTCTCTCTCTCTCCTCTCTTCCCTCTCTACTTCTCCTCTTCCTCTTTACCTCCTCTCTCTCTCTCTCTCCCTCACCCTCCTTATCTCTTCTACTTCTCCCTCTTCCCCTCTTTACCTCCTTCCTCTCCTCTTCTCTCTCTCACCCTCCTTATCTCTCTCTACTTCTCCCTCTTCCTCTTTACCTCCTTCCCTCTCTCTCTCTCCCTCACCCTCCTTATCTCTCTCTACTTCTCCCTCTTCCTCTTTACCTCCTTCCCTCTCTCTCTCTCCCTCACCCTCCTTATCTCTCCCCTCACCCTCACCCCTCACCCTCCCCCCTCTCTCCCTCTCTCCCCTCTCCCTCACCCCTCCTTATCTCTCTCCCTCCTTCCCTCACCCTCTCTCCCTCCCCTCCTCACCTATCCATTATCTCCCTTATCTCTTCCTACTTCCCCCTCTTCCTCTTTACCTCCTCTTGTTCGTGGTGAGCTTCTTGAACCCGTCCTGGGCCGTGTCGTCCTTCTGCCAGTGCACGACGTCGGCGTTGACCTCGGCCAGCACGAAAGGCACGTCGTACTTGAACTCCATTTGACCTCTGCGGATGGCCTCGTGGGAAGCCGGTCCGCACTGGAAGGAGCCTGGAAGAAAAGGCGTGGCATGTTTTTTTTTTTTTTTTTTTTTTTTTTTTTTTGGCTTTCGAGAAGGTGGGAATAGATGGGAATGGGGATAGAAAATGGGAATGGGGAAAACGCGTGGCATGTTTTTTTTTTCTTTTTTTTGACTTTCGGAAAGGTGGGAATAGATAGGAATGGGAATAGGAAAAAAAGAGCGAATAGAAAATGGGAATGGAAATGGGATTAGAAGATGGGAATGGGAATAGGAAATGGGAGCGAATAGAAAATGGGAATGGGGAAAAACGCGTGGCATGTTTTTTTTTTTTTCTTTTCTTTCGGAATGGTGTGAATAGATGGGAATGGGGATAGAAAATGGGAATGGGAATGGGAATAGGAAAAAAGGAGCGAATGGAAATGGGAATGGGATTAGAAAATGGGAATGGGAATAGGAAATGGGAGCGAATAGAAAATGGGAATTGGAAAAAACGCGTGGCATGTTTTTTTTCCTTTTTTTTTTACTTTCGGAAAGGTGGGAATAGATGGGAATGGGGATAGAAAATGGGAATGGGAATAAGAAAAAAGGAGCGAATAGAAAATGGAAATGGGAATGGGAATAGAATATGGGAATGGGAATAGGAAATGGGAGCGAATAGAAAATGGGAATGGGGATAGAAGATGGGAATGGGAATAGAAAATGGCTTTTAGCTGTGAATCACAGTAACTATTTTTTGTTTGTTTTTTGCCGTTTTATGATAATAATGATGATTATAATATCAACACTGATAATAAAAATAATAATAACAATAAGAAAAATGATAATAATAGCAATAATAATGATAATAATGATAATAATAATAATAATAATAATAATAATAATAATAATAATAATAATAATAATAATAATAATAATAATAATGATAATAACAATAATAATAATCATAATAATAACAATAATAAGAATGATAATAATAACAACAATAATAATGATAATAATAGCAATAATAATAATAATGATAATAATAGCAACAATAATAAGGATAATAATAGCAATAATAAGAAGGATAATAATAGCAATAATAATGATAATAATAATGACTATGATATGATAACAATAATGAAAATAATGATAATAATGATTATAATTGTCATCATTATCATCATCATTATCATCAATCATCATTCCACTTTTACCATGGTCTTAATATCAATGATAATAATAGCAATAATAATGATAATAATAATTATAATAATAATAATGATTATGATAGCAATAATGTTAGTAATGATAATACCAATTATAATTTGATAATAATAGCAATAATAATAATGATAATAGTAATGATTATGATATGATAGCAATAATGAAAATAATGATAATGTCTTTTATAATTGTCACCATTATCATCATCATTATCATCAATCATCATTCCAATTTTACCATGGTCTTAATATCAATGATAATATTAGCAATAATGATAATAATAATAATAATAATAATAATAATAATAATAATAATAATAATAATAATGATGATGATGATAATAATAATGATTATGATATGATAGCAATAATGATAATAATGATAATGTCTTTTATAATTGTCACCATTATCATCATTATCATCATTCCACTTCTAAAATGGTCTTGATATCAACTTACCATCACTCGTCTCCTGTGGCGTCGCGTCGATGACCTGCCAGCCGCTGTAACCCTGTGGCAGGTCAGGTCGGGTCATCCACACGTCATTCCAAACGTGGAAATTCCAAATTGAATCGTAGAGACCTCCAGGGGTCACGCCGCGGTATGAGGAGCTATGGGAAAAATAGGATAAAGGTGAGAATAGAGAAAAAGGGATAAAGGTGAGAATAGAGAAAATAGGATATGAGAATAGAGAAAAAGGGATAAAGGTGAGGGAAAAAGGGATAAAGGTGAGATAGAGAATAGGTGAGAAAGAAAATAATAAAAGGTGAGAATAGAGAAAAAGGGATAAAGGTGAGGAATAGAGAAAAAGGGATAAAGGTGAGAAGAGAAAAAGGGATAAAGGTGGAGATAGAGAATAAAGGTGAGAATAGAGAAAAATAGGATAAAGGTGAGAATAGAGAAAAAGGGATAAAGGTGAGAATAGAGAAAAAGGGATAAAGGTGAGGATAGAGAAAAAGGGATAAAGGTGAGAATGGAGAAAATAGGATAAAGGTGAGAATAGAGAAAAAGGGATAAAGGTGAGAATAGAGAAAAAGGGATAAAGGTTGAGAATAGAGAAAAGGGGAAAAAATAGAGAAAAAGGATAAAGGTGAGGATAGAGAAAAAGATAAGGAGAATAGAGAAAAAAGGAAAGTGAGAATAGAGAAAAAGGGATAAAGTGAGAATAGAGAAAAGGGATAAAGGTGAGAAGAGAAAAAGGGATAAAGGTGAGAATAGAGAAAAGGATAAAGGTGAGAATAGAGAAAAAGGGATAGAAGGTGAGAATAGAGAAAAAGGGATGAGAATAGAGAAAATAGGATAAAGGTGAGAATAGAGAAAAATGGATAAAGATGAGAATAGAGAAAAAAGGGATAAAAGGTGAGATAGAGAAAAGGGAAGGTGAGGATAGAGAAAAAGGGATAAAGGTGAGAATAGAGAAAGGGATAAAGGTGAGAATAGAGAAAAAGGGATAAAGGTGAGAATAGAGAAAAAGGGATAAAGGTGAGAATAGAGAAAAAGGGATAAAGGTGAGAATAGAAGAAAAAGGGATAAAGGTGAGAATAGAGAAAAATAGGATAAAGGTGAGAATAGAGAAAAATAGGATAAAGGTGAGAATAGAGAAAAAGGGTATGAGAATAAGAGAAAAATGGATAAAGGTAGAATAGAGAGAAAATAAAGGTGAGAATAGAGAAAAAGGGATAAAGGTGAGAAGAGAAAAATAAAGAGAGAGAATAAAGGTGAGAATAAGAAAAATAGGATAAAGGTGAGAATAGAGAAAAATAGGATAAAGGTGAGAAATAGAGAAAATAGGGATAAAGGTGAGAATAGAGAAAAAGGAGGTGAGATAGAGAAAAAGGGATAAAGAGAATAGAAGAAAAAGGGATAAAGGAGAATAGAGAAAAATAGGATAAAGGTGAGAATAGAGAAAAAGGATAAAGGTGAGATAGAGAAAAGGATAAAGGTGAGAATAGAGAAAAAGGGATAAAAGGTGAGAATAGGAGAAAATAGGATAAAGGTGAGAATAGAGAAAAAGGGATAAAGGTGAGGATAGAGAAAAAGGGATAAAGGTGAGAATAGAGAAAAAGGGATAAAGGTGAGAATAGAGAAAAATAGGATAAAGGTGAGAATAGAGAAAAAGGGATAAAGGTGAGATAGAGAAAAAGGATAAAGGTGAGAATGGAGAAAAAAGGATAAAGGTGAGAATAGAGATAAAGGTGAGGATAGAGAAAAGGATAAAGGTGAGAAAGGAGAAAATAGGATAAAGGTGAGAATAGAGAAAAAGGGATAAAGTGTGAGAAAAAGGGATAAAGGTGAGAATAGAGAAAAAGGGATAAAGGTGAGAATAGAGATAAAGGGGATAAAGGTGGAGAAATAGAGAAAAAGGGATAAAGGTGAGGATAGAGAAAAAGGGATAAAAGAATAGAGAATAAAGGTGAGAATAGAGAAAAAGGATAAAGGTGAGAATAGAAAAAATGGATAAAGGTGAGAATAGAGAAAAAGGATAAAGGTGAGAATAAGAATAGGATAAAGGTGAGAATAGAGAAAAAGGGGATAAAGAGATAGAGAAAAATAGGATAAAGGTAGAATAGAGAAAAGGGATAAAGGTGAGAAAGAAAAAATAGAATAAAGGTGAGAATAGAGAAAAAGGATAAAAGATAGAGAAAAAGGGATAAAGGTGAGAATAGAGAAAAAGGGATAAAGGTGAAAATAGAGAAAAAAGGGATAAAGGTGAGAATAGAGAGACAAGAGGATAAAAAACGTTTTCTTTTGTACTGTGTGAATAGAAAATGGGAATTGGGATAGAAAATGGGAATGGAGATAGAAAATGGGAATGGGAATATAAAATGGGAATGGGAATATAAAATGGGAATGGGAATAGAAAATGGGAATGGAAACAGAAAACGGGAATGGGAGTAGTAAACGGGAATGGAAATAGAAAACGGGAATGGAAATAGAAAACGGGAATGGGAATAGCAAACCGGAATGGGAATGGGAATAGAACTCCAAGATGGATGAATATGTGGAATAGGATGGACAAGAACCTGTGCCGGTTCTTCGGGGACAAATCCTCTCATTTACAGAACCCGTAGAGAAAGGGATAAAGGTGAGAATAGAGAAAAAGGGATAAAGATGAGAATAGAGAAAAATAGGATAAAGGTGAGAATAGAGAAAAAGGGATAAAGGTGAGAATAGAGAAAAAGGGATAAAGGTGAGGATAGAGAAAAAGGGATAAAGGTGAGAATGGAGAAAATAGGATAAAGGTGAGAATAAAGAAAAAGGGATAAAGGTGAGGATAGAGAAAAAGGGATAAAGGTGAGAATAGAGAAAAAGGGATAAAGGTGAGAATAGAGAAAAATAGGATAAAGGTGAGAATAGAGAAAAAGGGATAAAGGTGAGGATAGAGAAAAAGGGATAAAGGTGAGAATGGAGAAAAAGGGATAAAGGTGAGAATAGAGAAAAAGGGATAAAGGTGAGGATAGAGAAAAAGGGATAAAGGTGAGAATGGAGAAAATAGGATAAAGGTGAGAATAGAGAAAAAGGGATAAAGGTGAGGATAGAGAAAAAGGGATAGAGAAAAAGCGAGAAAAAAGGGATAAAAGGTAAAGGTGAGATAGAGAAAAGGGATAAACTTGAGAATAGAGAAAAAAGGGTTAAAGATGAGAATAGAGAAAAAGGGATAAAGGTGAGAATAGAGAAAAATGGGATAAAGGTGAGAATAGAGAAAAAGGGATAAAGGTGAGAATAGAGAAAAAGGGATAAAGGTGAGAATAGAGAAAAGAGGGATAAAGGTGAGGATAGAGAAAAATAGGATAAAGGTGAGAATAGAGAAAAAGGGATAAAGGTGAGAATAGAGAAAAATAGAATAAAGGTGAGAATAGAGAAAAAGGGATAAAGTTGAGAATAGAGAAAAAAGGGATAAAAAAATAGATAAAGGTGAGAATAGAGAGATAAGAGGATAAAAAACGTTTTCTTTTGTATTGTGTGAATAGAAAATGGGAATGGGGATAGAAATAGGGAATTGGGATAGAAAATGGGAATGGAGATAGAAAATGGGAATGGGAATATAAAATGGGAATGGGAATATAAAATGGGAATGGGAATAGAAAATGGGAATGGAAACAGAAAACGGGAATGGGAGTAGTAAACGGGAATGGAAATAGAAAACGGGAATGGAAATAGAAAACGGGAATGGAATGGAAAAAGATGGAAAAAAAACGGAATGGGAGCAAGAACTTCCAAGATGGATGAATATGTATAATAGGATGGACAAGAACCTGTGTCGGTTCTTCGGGGACAAATCCTCTCATTTACAGAACCCGTAGAGAGTCAGAGCGGGTTGCAATTGCACATGATTGCCGGACTTACTCGATCTCGTCTCCTTTCTCGTCCACGTATTCGTCAATGGTGAGGGAGACGTTGGTGTCGTGTGCAGAGGCGAAGTTGCTGACCACTCGACTGGGCAGACCGAGAGCACGGCATACTGCGGGGCATGAAATGTACCGTCAAGACATGTACTGGGTAGGGGTGCTATAATCATGTTTTTTTGTTTGTTTGTTTGTTTTTTTTGTAACTTCGAATTCGCATTAAACAGCCTTTTTTTCTAGAAGCTCGGGCTAGATCAGGCTCGGGTTTGAATAAGAGGGTGCAAGTTTCATCAAAATCGGCAGGAAAAATCGAAAAATCGAAAAACCGAACAGACGGTCCCCTTAAACGTATCATCAGGAGATATACTGGGTAGGGATGCTACAGGAATGGACTTCCGTAAGCTCGAATTCGCCTTAAACAGCCTCCTTTATCCGGAATGCTTTGTTCAGGGTCTAACAGAAGCCCGTCTAAGTTCAGTGACCTGTGTTGACGACTCCGGCGAAGACCCAGCACTGGCCGTACCGGACCGGGCGCTTGCTCCTGATGTACTCCTCCATGATCTTGATGGAGCCTGACCACGACGAGGGGGACTTCCCGTCTTCGTACTTGCCGTCCCAACGACCCACGATCACGCCGTTGTCGTCGTTGCTGTTCACCTTTGGGTGGAGAACGGAAAGGGTTAATGGACTTGAACACAAACACAGCGACGCGTACAGTTGAAAGGAAACGCTGCCTTTATAGGAATCAATTTTAAAATGTTTTTAACACAGTAACGTGTACAGTTGAAATGAAATCCTGCCTTTATGGGAATCAATTTATAGTTTTTAGTTCGTTTCTATTGTGGGAGTTTCGGGATAATGGGCTTGTTTGGCGGTGTGATACTGTGCTTTGTAGCCTCAAGGACAAACAGTACATTGTAAAATATTATATCGTCGGACAAACAGTACATTAAAATATATCGTTGGACAAACAGTACATTGTAAAATATTGTAAAATATCATATCGTTGACGGATCATCTCAGAAAATGTCACATCGTCCAGCCTCGGAGAAAAAGGGAAACGCGAGAAGCCCCCGCATACCATCTTGGAAATGGCCCTGGACACGCGGATGGGGTCGCCACGGGACTCCGGCGCGATGCCCGACCTCTCCAGCAGCAGCACACTCGCCGGCAGCACAGCGTCGTCGAACTGCCCGAAGACCCAAGGGCGTCCGTGGGGGTAGGGGTAGTTGCCCACCCAGATCTGGAGGGCGGGGGATGGCAGCGGTCAGTGGCGCTCAGTGGGCAAGAAACATTTCCTTCTATAATGACAGATACATATATTTTTTTTTTTTTTTTTTGTCCCCCGAAATCTACTGAAGGCGACTGGGCACTGACCTTCCCCACGTCAGCCAGAACGTATTCGTCTCGTTTCTCTTCGTCCGGCAGGTACGTCCCATCGTCTGCAGGAACACAAGATATATGCTAAGATATATAATAAATTAATATATAAATTAGAGACAAAGTAAAAGAAGGGCATTAATCCAGTTCAAATAGACTTAAGATAGATTTGAGTAAGGTTCGTAATAATAAATAATCTTAAAGCTTTTCAGTAACTGTCGATCTCCATCTCACAAACGAGTTAACAATTTTTTAAAAACTGTTCATGGACATTATAACACTGGTTAATAGTTATTTCCAAGAACCTTTGTTCTCGCATCTACCTGTCCTAACCTATTTTTTATACAGTGGTAATTGATATTCGAATTTTATCATCCCCTTTCCCTGCAGTTCTAAATGTCTACGGTTTATCATGCATCTAGTCATTAGAAGATTCATAATTAGCATTTAAAATTAGATTAACTTTCTTTAAAAGACTCTTTAAGCACAGGAGGAGTCTGCAATTTTTCGATCAGTTACGCAATCTTCATTATAACAAAAATATACATATCATTTAGAATATCATTATTGCCGATAAAGCTAGGCCTATATTACCAAAATAATCATCTATGGTCTATCCAATTTCAAGAAAGAATTAACTGGCAACTCACTCCGAACTTTGGAGTATTCCGATTCATCTTCTCTCTATTATTCTAATCACCAGACAGTCATTATGACTCCATAAGCCTGGATTTAGCAGACAATTATCATTTATCGTATTGCTTTACACCACTTTATTCCTCTTCTTCTAAAAGAGAAGTCTTACAGCGAATCGGAGTCCTCCAAAGCCTAGCGTGAGTTGCCAGTTTCTCCTTTTCTGAGACTGGACGGAGTATATAAACTCACGCTTGTTCCAGGGATTGAAGAGAATGTAGATGTGTGTGTCGGAGCGGAGAAGGTGTCGTTCTGAGTCGGAGGATTTTCTGAGACTCACCTCCACAGCGGGGTTCCAGACACCCACGGGGGCGTCCGTGGGGATCTGAATCTGTGGGCGGGATTGGGGTGGTTTAGATTTGGGTTTTTGTTCTGTTCACCGGGGGAGAACACCACCGTAAACTCTCAAGGGTTTTCTTTCTTGATAAATGAGATTGTAACACCCATAATTTTTTCTTATTGTGCATTAAGCTTAGAAGGGAGAGAGAAGGGATAAAAGACAGACAGACAGAGAGAGAGAGAGAGAGAGAGAGAGAGAGAGAGAGAGAGAGAGAGAGAGAGAGAGAGAGAGAGAGAGAGAGAGAGAGAGAGAGAGAGAGAGAGGAGGGAGGGAAAGAAACAGAAAGAGAGAGAAAAGACAGAAGACAGAGACAGAGAAAGCCATACAGGCAGAACCAGAGACAAAGATAAAGACTAAAAACAGAGAGAGAGAGAGAGAGAGAGAGAGAGAAGAGAGAGGAGAGAGAGAGAGAGAGAGAGAGAGAGAGAGAGAGAGAGAGAGAGAGAGAGAGAAAGAAAGAAAGAAACAGAAAGAGAGAGAGAAAGAGAAAGAAACAGAAAGAGACAGACAGACAGACAGACAGACAGAGGAGAACACCACCCAATCGACCTTCTCCTCAGGAACTCACTTCGAGCGAGACCTTCTTCCCGTTCTGGCCGTCCACCCGCACATCCCACTCCTCGTGGTTCTTGTCGAAGAGCTTCTTGCCCGACACCTGAAGAGCGGCTTGCGTCCCCTTCGCCGCACTCGGACGCTGACCTGCGAAGGGGCGGCTGGTTGTTAGTGGCGGGAGGAGGAAGTGGAGGAGGACGAGCTTATGGAGGAAGTGGAGGAGGACGACTTATGGAGGAAGTGGAGGAGGACGACTTATGGAGGGGGTGGAGGAGGACGACTTATGGAGGGGGTGGTGGGGGTGAAGGGTTGGTGTTAGTGGCGGGAGGAGGAAGTGGAGGAGGACGACTTATGGAGGAAGTGGAGGAGGACGACTTATGGAGGAAGTGGGAGGACGACTTATGGAGGGGGTGGAGGAGGACGACTTATGGAGGGGGTGGAGGAGGACGACTTATGGAGGGGTGGAGGAGGACGACTTATGGAGGGGGTGGAGGACGACGACTTATGGAGGGGTGGGGAGGACGACGACTTATGGAGGAAGTGGAGGAGGACGACTTATGGAGGACGACTTATGGAGGGGGTGGAGGAGGACGACTTATGGAGGAAGAGGAGGAGGACGACTTGTGGAGGAAGTGGAGAGGAGGAGAAGTGGAGGAGGACGACTTATGGAGGAAGTGGAGGAGGACGAGGAGGACGACTTATGGAGGAAGAGGAGGAGGACGACTTATGGAGGAAGTGGAGGAGGACGACTTGTGGAGGAAGTGGAGGAGGACGACTTATGGAGGAAGTGGAGGAGGACGACTTAGGAAGTGGAGAGGACGACTTATGGAGGGGTGGAGGAGGACGACTTATGGAGGAAGTGGAGGAGGACGACTGGATGGAGGAGGACGACTTAGGAGGAGGGGAAGTTATGGAGGAAGTGGAGGAGACGACTTGTGAGGAAGTGGAGGAGGACGACTTATGGAGGAAGTGGAGGAGGACGACTTATGGAGGAAGTGGAGGAGGACGACTTGTGGAGGGGTGAGGAGGACGACTTATGGAGGAGTGGAGGAGGACGACTTATGGAGGAAGTGGAGGAGAGGACCGACTTATGGAGAAGTGGAGGAGGACGACTTGTGGAGGAAGTGGAGGAGGAACGACTTATGGAGGAAGTGGAAGGAGGACGACTTGTGGAGGAAGTGGAGGAGGACGACTTTGGGGGGGTGGAGGAGGACTTATGGAGAAAGGGAGGAGGAGACTATGGAGGAAGTGGAGGAGGACGACTATGGAGGGGGTGCGGGAGGAGGAAGTGGAGGAGGACGACTTGTGGAGGAAGTGGAGAAGGACGACTTATGGAGGGGGTGGAGGAGGACGAATTAGGAGGGGGTGGAGGAGGACGATTATGGTGGAGGAGGAGGACGACTTTATGGAGGGGGTGGCGGAGGAGGAAGTGGAGGACGTTGTGGAGGAAGTGGAGAAGGACGACTTATGGAGGGGGTGGAGGAGGACGAATTATGGGGTGGAGGATGGCGACTTGGTGGGTGTGTGGTTATGGAGGGGGTGGTGGTGGTGAAGGGGTTGGTGGTGGGATGAAGGAGTTGGTGTTAGTGGCGGGAGGAGGAACAGGAGGAGGACGACTTATGGAGGGGGTGGTGGGGGTGAAGGGGTTGGTGGTGGTGGGGGTGGGGTGAAGGGATTGGTGATGGTGGGGATGAAGGTTAGTGGTGGTGGGGGTGATGGTGAAAGGGTTGTTGTTGGTGGTGAAAGGTTGGTGGTGGTGGGGATGAAGGTTGGTGGTGGTGGGGGTGAAGGGGTTGTTGTTGGTGGTGAAGAGTTGTTGTTGTGGTGTTGTGG